ATTATTGGCAGAACTCATTTCCTGTGGCTGTGAGACTGAAGCCCTGCATTCTTGCTAGCTATTGGCCGGAGGCCTTCTTCAGCTACTAGACTAGAGGCTCCCTTAAACAGATAAAGAAGGTCTCTGGAAAACCTATAGCTAACATACTTAATGTAAAAAAACTGAGTGTTTGTCCAGGCTGGCATGCTCAGTGGTTAGAGCGGTGGCCTGAGCACCAGAGAGTCTAGAGTTAGATTCCCAGTCAAGAGCATGTAACTGGGTTGCAGATTTGATCCCTGGCCCTGGTCACTGGTCAGGGTGCATGCAGAGGGAGGCAACCAATCAATATGTCTCTCACATCTCTCTCTCTCTCTCTCTCTCTCTCTCTCTCTCCCTATCTCTATCTCTATCTCTCTCTCCCCTTCCTTCCCTGCTTCCCTCCTTTCCACTCTTTCTAAAAATCAATGGAGAGGAAAAAAAAACCCAAGACTGCGGCATAGGTAAACACCGGAGATTGCTGCCTCGCACAACCACTTCAAAAATACAACTAAAAGACAGAACGGACATCACCCAGAACCACAGGAAAGCTGGCTGAGGGGAAATTCTACAACTAGAAGGAAAGAGAAAAGCATACCAAGACTCAGAGGAGGCGCAGTACGGAAGTAAAATACTACGGTGCGGAGCGGGCTGGCGGCTGAGGGCGCGGTTGTCATTTTCAATCGGGAGGGAGTCTCAGGCTCTGGGCTCCAGTTCCGGGTGAGTCTCTGGGGACCCAGACTCAAACGGGAGAAGCGGGACTGTCTGGCATCGGTTGGAACTCGAGGGCAGCTTTCTCTCCGAGGGGCTTGCAGCGATTACCGGGACATTGAGAGGCAGAGCCTCTGGGGACAGGACTGAGAGCAGCCATAATTGCTCGCTCGGCCCGCCCTGTTGATCCCCTGGGACCTGCCCTGCCCAAGCCCTGCACAGAGGCATTTGCTGGTTAGCCTCAGGCAAAGGCTAGATTAGCACCTCCCTAGAGGACAGAAGTTCTCCCACTGCAGACACAGCTGATTCGCACAGCCAGTTGGCCTGGAGGTCAAATCCCCCCCAGTGTTACCTACAACAATCAAGGCTTAACTACAACAAGACCGCGCACAAAGACCACTAGGGGGTGCACCAAGAAAGCATAAAAAATGCGGAGACAAAGGAACAGGACAGAAATGGAGGAAGGCAAAATGCTAGATATAAAGCTCAAAACCACACTTTTAAGGTCTCTCAAGCCACTGATAAATTTAGTAAGGCACTCGAAAAGACTGGTGAGACCACCGATAAATATAGTTAGATCCTCAAGAAATCTAATGAGACCCTTGATGTTGTGATAAAGGACCAACTAGAAATTAAGCATACACTGACTGAAATAAAGAATATTATACAGACTCCCAACAGCAGACCAGAGGAGCGCAAGAATCAAGTTAAAGATTTGAAATGCGAAGGAGCAAAAAACACCCAACCGGAAAAGCAAAATGAAAAAAGAATCCGAAAATACGAAGATAGTGTAAGGAGCCTCTGGGACAGCTTCAAGCGTACCAACATCAGAATTATAGGGGTGCCAGAAGATGAGAGAGAGCAAGATATTGAAAACCTATTTGAAGAAATAATGACAGAAAACTTCCCCTACCTGGTCAAAGAAATAGACTTACAGGTCTAGGAAGCGCGGAGAACCCCAAACAAAAGGAATCCAAAGAGGACCACACCAAGGCACATCATAATTAAAATGCCAAGAGCAAAAGACAAAGAGAGAATCTTAAAAGCAGCAAGAGAAAGAAACTCAGTTACCTACAAGGGAATATCCATACGACTGTCAGCTGATTTCTCAACAGAAACTTTGCAGGCCAGAAGGGAGTGGCAAGAAATATTCAAAGTGATGAATGCCAAGAACCTACAACCAAGATTACTTTATCCAGCAAAGCTTTCATTCAGAATTGAAGGTCAGATAAAGAGCTTCACAGATAAGGAAAAGCTAAAGGAGTTCATCACCACCAAACCAGTATTATGTGAAATGCTGAAAGGTATCCTTTAAGAAGAGGAAGAAGAAAAAGGTAAAGATACAAATTATGAACAACAAATATGCATCTATCAACAAGTGAATCTAAGAATTAAGTGAATAAATAATCTGATGAACAGAATGAACTGGTGATTATAATAGAATCAGAGACATAGAAAGGGAATGGACTGACTATTCTTGGGGGGGGAAGGGGTGTGGGGGATTCGGGAAGAGACTGGACAAAAATCGTGCACCTATGGATGAGGACAGTGGGTGGGGAGTGAGGGTGGGGTGGGAACTGGGAGGAGGGGAGTTATGGGGGGGAAAAAGAGGAACAAATGTAATAATCTGAACAATAAAGATTTAATAAAAAATAAAATAAAATAAAAATAAATGGAAAAAATATCCTCAAGTGAGGATTAACAACGACAAAAATTTGTGCTTATTAACCTCTCCATACTCTGAACAATCCTTATAGTAACAAGCTGTCTTTTCTGAATATGAGAACTTTGCATGGAATCTTTTAAAAAAGGAATTTAATAAATTTTACACTGTTTGTAATACTTTAATATCAACAAAAGTTAAGTAATAATTATGCATTTTAACCCACAAACCTCCCTTCGTGAAGTAATCTGTCTCTCTCCTCCTTGGGACTCCCACTGCAGTGCATGCCTCCGTTGAACACAACTCATTTTCTGTTTTGTATTAGATTCTCTGTCAAGGCTTGTTTCCTCTGTGAGATTACGGTTCCTTGAGGGAAAGCACTGTGTCTGACTCTTCTAGTTCTCAGCACAGCGCCTGGCATACTAGAGGTGTACAATACACATTTTTTTGAATGAAGAAATAAGTTAACCAGCAGAGATTTCTATGGTGATATTATAACACCCTTGTCTTCCATATAAGCCTAACCCACAGCCTAGAAATCAAACACTCACTGAAAACAGTCCAGAGAATCCTCTCTGTGAAAATTGTTGGTGGGATATAATTCTAAAGAGTGTCAGGGTCAGCCAGGCTATATGGAAAGCTGTCTGCTCTTTTGTGTTACTTTCACAAGCAAAAAAAAAGGTGGGGGGGCAGTGTTAGTGGTTCCTGAGAAATATGTTCTAATTTTAGAACTCCATATATTAATGGTTAGCAGCCTTTACTCTCACAGCGGCAGTGCAGTAAAACGGTTGGGAACTTGTGGTCTGAAGTCAGAATACCTGTATTTCAATCTCACCGCCACCAAGTAGTAGCTATGTGACCTCAGGCAAGTTGTTTAACCTCCTGTGCCTCATTTTCATCACCAGCAAAATGTAGAAACTAACAGTACAGACCCTCCAAGATATGGTGTGAAAATTAATGGCTAATATATTTGAAGTGTCTAGGCTAAGTACCTGGCACTCTGTTTAAAAATGATAGCAAACACTAGCTGGCCTGGCTCAGTTGTAGAAGCAGCCCGTGTACCTAAGGGTCATGGGTTTGATTCCTGGTCCGGGCACATGCCCAGGTTGCAGGTTCAATCCCAATCCAGGTGCATGCAGGAGGCAACCAATTGATGTTTCTCTCTCACATGGATGTTCTTTTCCTCTCTCTCTCCCTCTCCCTTCCTCTCTTTCTAAAAATAAATATAAATATTATGTTTATTCCTATATAATAAAAGGCTAATATGTAAATTGTCCCTCTGATGGGGAGTTCGACCAGGAGCTGGGCCAGCCGGCCAACCGCCCAAAGCCCCCACCTCCTGCACCAATTCGTGCACAGAGCCTCTAGTATTTAATAAAGAAAGAAAGAGCCCTAGCTGGTTTGGATGAGTGGATAGAGTGACAGCCTGCGAACTGAAGGGTCCCAGGTTCAATTCCAGTCAAGGGCACATGCCCAGGCTGTGGGCTCATCCCCAGTAGGGGGCGTGCAGGAGGCAGCCAATCAATGATTCTCTCTCATCATTGATGTTTCTGTCTCTCTCTCCCTCTCCCTTCCTCTCTGAAATCAATAAAAATATATTTTTTTTAAAAAGAAAGAAAAAAGTGATAGCAATATGTGCACCATATTTACCTTATATCCCTCATTGGTAAGTTCCATGTTGTTAAGGACAAAGCGGACTCTTTTTTTATCCTCTAGAACAGGGTGTAACAAATACCAGATGTTCAAAAACATGATGATGTGAATTGTATTTGAGATATAGAAACTGAATGCACAAGAAAATGAAAGTCTGTATAAAATGTAAATGCAATTAATTTAAACAAAAGGGTTCTTGTCATATTATTTAAGTATCTTCAGTTATTTCTTTAGGACTAGTGGCTAGGGCTCTATGACCTGATCTTTTTTCTCGCCCTCGTCAGAGCATGTAGTTTGGGGCAGGGCATGTTGCATGCATTACCGAACTGCTGGCCTCCCGACGAGCTGGCTGTGCAGATAGTCTGAGGGAAGAGGTTGCTGCAGCAAAAAGTGGGTTACATACATTACAGACAGTAAGGCTCTGCCCTTGGAAACGAAAGGCCCATAATTTAAGAAAACGCCCCGGGAAGAGCTGGGCCGGGCCAGCCCAGCATTCTGTCACAGTTCATTTGGACCTTCGTAGGGGCGACCTGCGAAGGTGAGTGCCCGGCCAGGGTGGCAGGCCGGGATGCCCGAGTGAGCAACTTGGTAGGGGATGCGGGGTGCGTCACTCCCACTTCCCTAGCCAGGTACGGGCCCCACGAGCGCCGGCGAGCGGGCGCTGACAGCAGCCTCGGCCCGGCCGGGACCCTCCCGGGGCGCCTCCTCCCGGAGGCCACTGACCTTGCCGCGGGCGGCCGCGCTGGCGCAGTCCCCGCGCCGCAGAGCCGGGCGCTGGCCGGGGGCGCCTTTCCACGGTCCCCCAGCGCCGCACCCCGCTGCCAGGTCGCCGCTGAGCCGCGAGGGCCGAGCCCGGAGGCACAGGGGGCGGGGCGGGGCGGGCGCACCCCCGGCCCCGCGGTGGTCTCGGCGGGCGCACGCGCCGCAGTCCCGCAGGCGCGCGGGGCGGAGGGCGGGGAGGGTGGGTGTGCTCCGAGCGCGCACCGCCGCCGCCTCAGCCTGCGCTCCGCCCGCGCCGCGGCTCCCGGCTCGGCCCCAGCACCCAGCACCCCGCACGCCGGCTCCCCAGCGGCCATGGGTGACGCGGGGCCAGCGGTGTAGTCCGCCACCCGGACCGCGTCCCGCACCCTGACAGTCCGGGTAAGCGGGGTCGGGGGCGGCGGGGACCCTGGGGGACTCTGAGGTGCAGTGCGGAGGCCGCCCCGCAGGGGTCCCTGTGTGGATGGGTGGACCTGACTTCTGCTGCCTCCACCCTTTGGGAGCGTCCCCGGTGTGAATGGAGACTCCCAGGGCCGCTCTGCGCTGGCTGCCATGCGGAGGCCCGTGGCATCGTCCCCAGAGAGCGGCTGTGTGACTGCGGGAGGGCATGGGTAGTCTCTGGAGTTGCCCCAGTGGAAGATCATTTGGGAACAGGGGACACCCTCCCAGAGCCTCCGGAGCCTGCGCGGTGGGGGGTGGACCCCACAGAGGACCAGTACTTCCAGGGGGACCGGTCTGGAAGGAACCTCTGCCTGGGAGGAGGGGGTCCTGCTGTGGGATCCCGGCCAGGAGGAACTGCCCATCTGCCCGGAGGACTTGGGCCTTGACCGCCCTTCGGACTCGATGTGCCCTAACCTGTGTCCCTCTGGTGTGGCCCCGAGGTGGGGACCTGGTGGGGCTGCTGCCTCTGCCCATTGCCCCTCATTAGGATGTTTGCTCTTGGTGGTAGCCCAGCTGGCTGCAAGCTGGATTTCAGTGGAGGCAGGAACTTCTGTAAGAGCTCAAGGCTCGAGGACAGGAAGGACCAGTGAGGCCTCTGAAGCAAAGGAAGGAGATCTGCATCCCTGGCGTTGACCATGAGGGAGAAGTAAACTCAGGTGCAACAACCGAATCTGGCAGGTCCTGGCAGGAAAGGCCTTTGAAGGAGGGAAGGAAGGAGAGCTAGGATTCCTGAGCACCTGGGTGCCAATCCTACACCAGGGATGTTTAGCACCTTATATAATCCTTACAGCAGCCTTGAAATTATCTCCTGTTAAACATGAGGCTCTTTAGACTCAGGGAGGTTCAGCAATTTGCCCAAGGTTACAAAGCTTGGAATCATGAAATGTGTGTGGTGTGTTGTTGTTGTTGTTGTTGTGTGTGTTTAGTTTAGTTGGGGAAAAAGTGTCCGGGAGAGGCAGAAACCAGAACCTATGTTTTTAAACAAGTTGCATTAAGGCACCACGCATGGGGCTTTGCAGTCGTGTGTGCTCAGGAAGTGTGATGATGAACTAAGAGGATGCGGAGATTTTCACTGAGGGTGAGACTGCTGCGGGAACTGGTTCGCACTGAATCTCCAGGTTTCAGGGTGTGGCTTCCTCCACTGGCAACCTCACTGTGAGGATGCCTCTGGCTGGCTCTGGGCTTGATTGGGTTTCGAAGAGGCCTCTGGGTGTGGTCTCTGACAGGACTTGCTCCTCGGAACTAGGGGAACCCTTCAGAGGATGGAGTGTCCTGAGACAACCCTCCCGGCTACAGAATCCTTGAGGGAGAGAAGGGGAGACAGTATCATTTTTAGGAAGCATGACCCACTGTCCGGTGGCCATCTAACTACATGCACCAGCAGACACTGGTCATCAGGTACCACTCGGGACACTTGTGCCCCATAGAGCCTCAGCATGAGGAGGAGGAGGGTGGAGACGGTGCAGAACCAAGGACGCTTAACGTTATCTGGGGGACTGCAAAGGGTCTGCATCTGACATGGTAATGCACCCTCATCTTGCCCCCTCAGCTGTGGTCTTGCTTTCATTCCACCTGAATCCTAAGGTGTGAATTTGGGAATCAAGGATAGACTAGTTTCTTGGCCAAAAAAAAAAGAAAAAATGGAGTTGTGCGGAAGCTAAGCAATGGAATTCGCCACAGAGCTATTCCGAGAGAGCTTTTCTGTTCCCCTTCCTCTCTCCTTCCACTCACCCCAACCTACTGACATCTTCCTTTAATAGAAGTGGCTTCCTTGGGCTGGGGTTACACATAGTGAGAAGAGAGATCAGGCCTGTGAGAAAACAGGACAACCTGTTTTGCCCATTGTTAGCTTCTCTTTTTTAACTTGATGGCCGCCTGAAGCCTGGGTGTGGCCCCTCCTGCACAGCTCGGTGGAGTAAGCGGACAAAGGTTTATCTTAGCACCTCCCCACTGCAGAGCTGTTTATAATTCCCTTTCAGTTCGAACCCCTCTCATCAGTGTAAGACACCAAAATAAACAGGGATATGTCTTTTTAAAGGAAATCAGAAGAAGCAAACCTGCAAATATGATCTTTGCTCCAATTCGGATTAGTCGTTTGAGTTTGATTCCTAAACTGGTCTTTTCATTGAGGGCTCTTGGCATCGCCCCCACTCATCACCCTGGGAAATTTGCTGGATGGCTCCAGATGCTCCCCAAATACTGGACCTTGGATATCGCCTCCTAAGCATACGGTCTAACTGTCCCCTAATCACAACATGAGCCTGCAAACCAAATCATTCCAGAGTGGGTGTGAAGGATGTAACCAGGTGCCTTAATCTTCTCAAAGAAAAACAAAAACAAAAAAAAAAAAAATGATCTTTACAAAGGGAAAGACAAGGGGAGAGAATGGCCCAACCAATCTCACTCAGGTGTATACCAATGTCCTGGACAGTCTTTAATCTTCCAAATCTTCTCTCACCACATTCTTATGATTTTCTTCCTCCCACATTTGCCATCTTTTTGACAGTGATTCCTTTTCCTCAAACATGAATAGTAGGACCTTCCCTAGTCCATTTCCCCTACTCCCTGTATTCCCCCCTCAGCATACCTGTTCCTAAGGGAATCATATTTATGCAAATCATTTCCTTTCTCATAGCTACAGAATCTATGATCTCCCAGTCCCACATGCTTTTCTCCAGTAGTGCTCTTGGTTTCTGCTACCCTCACGTCCCAGATTGATTTATTCATTGCTGATGGGACATGTTATCCACTCCACCCCTCAATCTTAATGACCAGTGCTGACAGGAATTATTTCCCGGCTTTGGACCAAGAAACCAAGACCATCATTGTCCAGCTGGAGACATGATTATTTTTTCCATTATAACCCTTCCCTCCATCCTCCTTCCCTTCCAGCAATCCCCTCAGAGAACCACATATGTTTACTCAGTGCACTACTTACCAGGCACTATGCTAGGTAATAATGAGAGTTCCTTGCCCTTGAGGAGTTCTCATAGAATCAGTCTGCATTTCTTTAATCATTTACTATAAAAAGTAAGGAAAGTAAGGGGGAAATTACAGCTTCGCAGAGTATCCACAGGAATCAGTGCGGCGTATGCCTTTTCCCAAGCATCACTGAAATGCAACCATGCTATGCCTTCTCTGGCAGCTCATTCTTAGCCCCCCTGCCATTGCCCTACCCACGTACCTTGAGTAAACCGGCCACACTCTTGACTTCTTACAATAATATGACCGTACCTTATATTTGAATAACATGTTACCATTTACAAAGCCCTTTTATATACATAACCTCTGGTTTGAGAAATGTTTCATCTCAGTGGGATTTTCTCACTAAAACAACAGGGTGTAGGCTGACTGGCTTGCTTGCTTTCCCTTTTCTTTTTCTTTTTTTTTTTCTTTTTCTTTTTTTCCTTCTAATCAGGCTTACGGGTCTCCCAGAGGGAAAGGAAAAGCCCCAATGATTCACTACAGTCCCCTCTTACCAGCTCTTAGGCTATAAAGAGGAGTTTCCTGCTGGGTGGTCAGCCCTGGGACTTAGCAGAGCTATCCTGCTTCCTGACCTCAGAAAATCCAATTCTCTGGGGTTTCTTTTCTCCCTGAAAATCGACATTTATATACTCTTTTAAACAAATGCTTTTAAGCCTACTACCTCAAACCATTTCTTTAGGCTGATCCTTATGTGAACACAAGTTTCCTCGCCTATTACGATTCAGCACCCAGCTGGCTTCATACCATCTGAGCCGCGATGGGAGTCCCCATATAGCTCCATGCCTTGGCATGTGCTTTTACCTCTTCCTGGAATGCTTTTTTTCTCCCTTATCCACTGGGGTAACTCCTACTCATATTTCAAAATTTAGCTCAAGCAACACCTCTTTTTTTTAAATCCCATACTTATGCCCCCTACACACACACATACACTGCACTCTCAGGCTGAGTGAGGTTCCATTTGTCATTCTACCGACAGTTGAGTGCTTGATTTGTGCCTGGCACATAGTAGGCTGCTTTCATCAAATATTTGTGGACTCCACAAACAAGCAGGTTGTGATCATTATGGTGTCATAAGGGCATTAAATGGGGCTGAATAGGTGTTTCAGGGCCCCAGTGCAGAGAACGAGGAGTGCCTCTCCATCTTACTGAAAAGCCCTGCTGGCTAAGTGCAATCACACCAGCCAATCACTGACGGTGTGCTGTTCCTTAACTGCTGCTCTGCTTCTGTGGGAAGCTAGCACTGTAGCTTTTCATGAAGACTCATCCCTGGCCCCCTGAGGCTAAAGATCATGCCGTAATTTTGTCCTCATGTATATTAGAGCCGTGTGGGCTTTCAGAAAATATTAGACAACAACAGGCCCTCCCTCACATCTCATTCTCTTGAGCTGAGTGCAGGAAGACAGCTTCGCTCATTCTTCAGCCCTTCTCCTTGGAGACCCCCTCAAGACCCCTGTGCAGCTGGAATGAGCGTGCCTTCCCGGGCTGACTGAAGCCGGTGCCGCTGCGCTGGCTGAGCATCGGCGAATGGAGGGAGGTGCCAGGTAGACCCCGTTAGGGTCTGTAAAACATGAAAACTAAACGTCTGTAGGCTCCTGCCAAGCAACAACATGGCTGAGTAGAGCAGGAGCACTGTCATGAGGCACCGGATTCCTAAAGCCACACCTCGTCACTGGAGAACAGCCAGACCATTTGGGGCTTGAATTTCCTCAAAGACCAGCAGAAGGTAAGGGGACTCTTTCTGGTGGTTTTTGTTTAAGGTCTCAAGGGAGATGTTAATGTCCACAGTGAGTTTAAAGCCTGGCCTGTGCGTTCTGCATTTTTAGGCCCAGGTGCTGCTTGTATTTCAGTATCCTTGTGGCTGGTCGTCTCCTGTGTGAGGTACGTGGCTTTCTCTGAGGCTGTCTTTCAGGCACATGCTCCCTGGAGCCAGCTGTCAGATACCTTGAAGCTTTCAC